GCAAGGTCGTGAGTTCGGTTCCCGGTACCAGAGAAAAACCAAAAACCAAAAAATAAATAAATAAATAAATAAGCTTGAGAAAGCTACCTAGCTCATTTTATGAAGTTAATATAATCTTTATATCAATAACAAAAAAGGAGAGTACAGGAAACATACAAGCATAGGTATACAAATCCTAAAATGCACAGAAAAATCAGCAAACCAAATCCAGTAGTGTGTGCATAGACAGATATTTGATAGATAGAAGAACAGATAGATCTAGAGGCAGTATGACATTTAAGTTGAGACAGTAGACTCTGAAACCAGAATGGTTACATTTGTGTCTCAATTTGATCAATTTCTATCTGTATAAATTTAGGAAAGTCATGTAACCTCTCCACACCTCAGTTACTTTATAGAATAATAGTACCTACGTCATCAGTTTGTTATGAAGCACCCTTAAGTTAATATATGTAAGATATAGCACATACTGAGTGTTATAGAAGTGTTACTATTATCTTTGTCGTTTTTATTATTGACTAATAATCCTGTCTATAGTGACCATGGTTCATGGTTCCTAATCAGTTGACCAAACTCAACATTAAGGGATGTTTTAGTTTTCTGTCCTTTGCTGAGACAAAATACCCTACACCAGCTAAAGGAGGAAAGGTTTATTTCACTCACAGTTTGTAGAGGTTTCAGTCCATAATCACCTGGCTCTAAGGCAGGGTGGGTGGCCGAGGGGCAATAGTTGATGGCTGTGGAAGATACCAAAAGCAACAAGAAAGGAGGGAGAGAGAGCAAGCCTCTTTCCCTCCCTTATATTGTATGCTGGCTACCTGCCCTAGAGCGGGTGTAGCACTCACACCCTTATTCAGCTACCTCCAAAAAGCCCACCCCCCCTATGATCACATGAGGCTTGTGGGGGGCATCCAGACACAGACCATAACAAGGGCACAGTCCTGCAGGTGGCCAAGACTGCTCGAGACTTCTGATATTGAGTGCAGGACCTTTGCCCTTCCGCCTAGTCAGAAGGAACAGTCTCACAAACTGTCCTTACTTTTCACTCTAGCTGCAAGTTTCAGGGTACCCAAAGCCACTCTCACTTCAGACCAGCTGGCTAGAGTCTAGGATTCCCACAGACTCCCTTGGATTCAATAAAGTAGTAGAACGACTCATAGAACTTTAAGTAAGGCACTCTACATAGGATTATGGTCTTAATGAAAAGATAGAAATTATAGCCAACCACACGAAGCAACGCATAGGGTGAAATCTGGGAGGGCCCCAGACACAAAGTTTCTGTCACCTTTAGCAATGCTTTACCCTCCCAGTATTGAAGTGTGACAATACTCAGAACATATTGCCAACCAGGAACCTCACCTGAGCCTTTGGTGTCCAGACTTTTCTCTGAGACTCCATCATATACCGCTCCTGTGGCTGACCTTTAGTCTTAAGCTTTTTGGGGAGATCAGACTAACGTGATAAATTTCCAGGTCAGAACTCACATGACATGGCTCAAAGTCCCTATCATAAAACACATAGTTAGACTGTCCTATGCCAAAGCCCCAGGCAAAAAAAAAAAAAAAAAAGACACTACTGTCTGCCAGGACATTGCAAAGGCTTAGATAGCACTTCCCAGTAGCACAGAGTGAAAGCTAGACCTGTTTGGGAGAAGTTAATTCTTCATCACATAGCTCCCAAATCCTTCCTAGTCTTGGCTGTACTTTCTAACCTCCTTTGGTTGACAAACATAACAGTGAATGCTATTGAATCACATCTCCTTACAGCCTAGTCATATCCCTTGGCCATGAGATGTTGCCACTCCTGGCATCCACTGTGGCCCATGCCTACAATCCCAGAACTCTGGGAGGCTGAGACAGGAGGATCAAAAGTTCAAGCTCAGCCTCAGCAACTTAGCAACTTAGCAAGACCATGTCTCAAAATAGTTTTGTTTTTTTAAAGAAAAAGGGCTGGAGATGAGTGAAAAGGTTGTGAGTTCAACTCCAGGTACCACCAAAATAGAGATAATAGAGATAGAGATAGAGATGATAGAGAGAGATAGAGAAGATAGAGATGGAAATGGAGAGAGAGAGAAAGAGACAGAGTCAATTTCTCCACCCTCTTGAATTTGAGCCTTATGATTTGTTTCAACCAATAGAAGGTATTGGAAGAGGCATTATGCAACTCTGAGACTAGGGGCTGGGGATTTAGCTCAGCGGCAAAAGCGCCTGCCTGGCAAGCGCAAGGTCGTGAGTTTGGTTCCCGGTACCAGAGAAAAACCAAAAAAAAAAAAAAAAACAAAAAACAAAAACCAAAAAAAAAGCAACTCTGAGACTGAATTTTAAGAGATTATTCAGCTTACACCTCCTGTTTCTTAGAACACCACCTTGAGACTGGCATACTGGAAAGAAGCTAACTCAGCTACTGGAGGAACATAGGCCATATGGAGAACCACAGCCTAAATCAAGGCCTTTGATGTTTGAGTGAATCCATCTTAGCCCCTGTTGAGCTCCTGGCTGCCTGCAATCACATAAATGAGCCCAGGAAAAACACTCCTATCACCTACATAATCAAGAGAAATCACAAATCGTTACTGTTTTAAGCTACCAACTATTGGGGCAATTTTGTCACACAGCAATAACTAACCAATACGTGTTATAAAGAACTGATATTTCTGTGGGGAAATGACTCAATCTATTCCTCTTAAGGCTATAAAACCAAAGTCATTTCACACTTTTAATTTTAAGGAAGAGCTCTGAGCTAAAAACCCATTTTGTATAATATTTAGTCCGTACTTTTCATTGTCTCCTCATGAAAACTTCTTCGGTCAAGGTGAGGTAGGAGATTAAAGTGGGGCAAACTAGTTGAGCAAGGGGGTGTGCCCTGTCAATCACAGAGACCCAGGACGCATGCGTATAACACAAGCCCCAAACCCTGCACCTGGGACCAATCAAAAAGTGCAATCTTCAATTCTTTATTTACATCTGGCACAAAATCAAGTGGGCCTTTAATAGGGCAGCCTAGATCTGATGTCAGGTCAACAAACAAGAGATGCAAAAGACTCCCACCATTAACCCTGAGGTCACAGTGGACTTTGTCAGTGGCCTATTCTCACTTTGCAGAGGGTACTTCTTTTCCCACCTTTAATAAATGTGAATCCTGGTTACATTTTTCACATGTCTTATCTAGTTTTTTGCTCAGGAGACCAAGAACCCGGAAAAAATCCCTGGAAAGAATCTTTAGGACCCCAAAACCAGTAACAAAGGTGCATGGATATTTCCAGAGTTCTTTCTACATACTTCCAAATGGGTTTCCTGCGAACCGTACTAAATTATGTTCTCACCAGGAGTGTGTGAGGAATGTGAGAGTTGGGTAGCAGGCCTGCGCTAAATGACAGAGAAACGATAGTCTAACCAGCACAGCAAAATGGAACTTCCAAAGTTAATTTCTTTTCCCTCTAGAGAGAAGTGGCTTCTCCAAATTTCTTCAGGCCTGTGACATAAATGGCCACCTCCACTTTCCCTTGCCGGATGAATGAACACAATATACAGATGCTGGCCTCAGGAGACCAAAGTCCAGTTTCATTCCCTTAGATAAGGAAGGGAGGGAAGGATCTGGGCTCAGGAAGGGGTGAAACAAGCCTGGACATCTATTGCCTCCCCCTCTGTTCAGAGAGAGAGAGAAAGAGAGGGAGAGAGATATGCTGATTTGGGTAATGAGGTCCCTCCATCTCCTCGGAATAGTTTTGAATAAATCCTTTATGCTTTTCATCAAAATTAGTGGCGTCCTTTGATTTGGCCAGCAGAGAGCAAACAAACCTGAGCGTACGGACTCAGCAGCTGGTAGCAACAGGAGCTTCCCCATGGAGTGCGGAGTGGTTAGACTCTTCTTCCCCAAATCTGCCTCTCCACTCCATAGGGCCGGCACGGGTGAGACCAGAAAGCCGGACAGATGGAAATCTTCAGCTGAGTGTTCAAGCCGGTGCCCTGTGTCCAGAAGGCAATATAGTATGGTGATTAGAAAGAAAGTTCTGGAATCAAGCTGCCTGAGTTTCAATCCTGGCTCTGTCTTGTACAAAGCATCTACTTTAAGCTTCTTAACCTGTGTCAGCCTCAACCTGCTCATCTCTAAAGTGGAAATATTTGTGCCTATCTCATGAGTTCTGAGGATTAAATGGAATGATCCATGTCAATCCTGTAAAACAGTGTGTGGTAAGAGAAGTAATGAGATTTGATACGATTGATATATGTTACATGCAAGAATCAAATTCCAAAGTGAACCTCACCATTTTGAATTACTAACATGAACTAAAACACGCTGTGTACCATTAGTAGTCTCTACACTGCTTGGCAACTTGTCACCAAACAGAGAGGCCTTTAATAGCAAGCACCCTTTCCTTCTCTTGTGGTCACAAGGAAATGCCACTAGTGGATGAAAAGAGAGATTCGAGACGCCTGGCTGATTCAGAATGTCAGAGCTGAAAGTGACACTGTCACTCCATGTTTCCTCTGGGCCGGGGTGTGTGTGGTCAGCGTACTCCCAGGAGTCAGGGCCGGGGTCGGGAGTAAGACTGAGCGTTGGGTTTAAATTACTCAGAAAAGGGAACTCTGATAAGGCAGATGGCTGTGTGGACCCAGCTTCATCCTTTACAACCTCTCCTTCGGTTAGGTCAACGGCCCTTCCTTGTAATCACATGCCTTGAGAGATACCAACTCCTATCAGCTGCACAAAGTTGCTTCTTAGTTTTCCTCGCTCAGCAACCGTGTCAGACCCTCGGTATTTCACCCACCAGCTCCATGGAGCCTCGCACAGTTTCCACAGTTCCTTGTACTATACAGGAGCCTTTCAGGTACGACGACAGAAAGCCAACTGGAACTGTTTATGCAAAAATGAATTCATGGAAAGGACAGTGTGAGGGGCAGGCATGCTGGTGCGTGCCTATAATCCCAGCACTCGGGAGGCTGAGGCAGGAGGATCGTTGCGAGTTCAAGACCAGCCTGGGCTACAAAGTGAGCTCAAGGCCAGCCTGAACTGCATAGTGAGACCCTGTCTCAAAAAGACAAGAAAGAAAAAAAAAAAAAGGACAGTGTGAGTAGTTCCTAGAATCAAGAAATTTGCTAAAAAAACAGGACTCACAGAGGCAAAATCAGGACTGCTTCAGGGACCTCATAGATCGCAGTCCCTCAGAACCAGTAGGCTGCCTCTGCATCTGTCCTCTGTGCATCTGTGACATATTCTCAGGCCAGCTTTTTCCAGAGTCAGGGGCCACGACCCTGGCTACCTTGGACCTCATATCTATTCAGTTTCATTACCCAGGAGAAAAGCAGCGTCTTTGCTTTATTTTAGTTTTTTTCCAGGACTGGGAATCGGACTCACGACCTTGAGCTTGCCAGGAAGGCGCTGTGCCACTGAGCTAAATCCCCAGACCCTTTGCTTTATTTTAATAAAATTATCCTGGAGGACATGGGCTGTCTTAAGTCACAAGCTCATCCTTACCTGAGTATTTTCACTGTCGCCAGGAGTCAGGCCAGCATGATCTGAGGCCAGCGACCTCCGACCCATCACTGTGGTCACGGAAGTAGGATCTATAAAAAGGTGACAATTCTTCTCAAAGATCTTGCATCCAAAGGAAAAGAAGTATATATATATATATATATATATATATATATACACACACACACACACATACACACACAAAATAGTTAAGATAGCTATACTACTAATTTCTGTCAGTTCATTGAAAAGTTCGTGTTTATATCATTTGATGAATTTTTCATGCCTGTATCTTATAATCTGAGCAACTGGGGCTGGGGATGTAGCTCAGTGGCACAGTGCCTGTCTGGCAAGCACAAGGTCCTGAGTTCAATCCCCAGTACCACAAAAAAAAAAAAAAAAAAAAAGCATTCTGAGCAACTACTTTGAAGATAACAATAAGCAATGTACATTGTTACTCTCCTATCGGTTTGAAATTTTGGATTGTTTTTTAGTGAGTTTTCTCTTTTTAAAAAAAAGACAAAAATGTAAGCTTTGAGACCACATACTGATCAACATGACTTCTACAGTTACTTCAGATAAATATTCATGATCTAGAAAGTACCAGTTTAACAAATATATGAGAAAATGTTTCCACATGAGTAATTTTGTATTAGTTATACAGAATAGTGGGTTATTTGTATATGCATATTTGTACATGCATGTAACATACTTTATTAATTCCCACCCCCATTATTCCCCTTGTCCTTCCCTCCTTCCTCTCCTTGGGCTCCTCCCTCTTCTGTAATAGTCTCTCTTCTACTTTCTTTTCTTTTTTGGGGGTGGGTATCAGGAACTAAACTCAGGACCTCACACTTGCCGGGCAGGCGCTGTGCCGCTGAGATATGTCCCCCGCCCTCTCTTCTACTTTCAATCACATGAGCAATTTTTCTAGGTAACTGAATTTGATCTCTTTAAATGTCAAGGCTTTTTATAGTCCATTTCCCATGAAGTCCCTCTGAAATATGGTTTCTTGAATTTATAACAAGTATCCCGAATATAATTTAACCATTGTAGTGGTCTCTCTTATCCACAGTGTTGTTTTTCACAGTTGTAATTACGCACCATCAGCCTTGGTCTGAAAATATTATGTGGAAAGTTCCATAAATAAGCAATCTGCAAGTTTTAAATTGCAGGGAGGTCTGAGTAGGATGATGAAATCTCATGCTGTCCTGATCCACCCCACTTAAAATATGAATTGGCCCTTTTTGTAGTGTATCCATGCTGTGAATGCTTTCCTTTTAGTCGCTTAGTAGCGGCATTGATTGTCAGACTGTCATGCTATCATAGTGCTTATCTTCAAGTAACCCTTATTTTTCTTAACAATGTTTCAGAAGCTGCACAGTGGAGTTACAAAGGAGGGGCCAGTATCTAAAACACAGAGAACAGATAACCTCTGATACCCTGTAGCAATTTTGCAGGACCTACGGAAAAAACAAACATAGTATGTATAGGGTTTGGTCTACCGTGGTTTCAGGTATCCACTAGGATCTTGGAACATCTCCCCTGAAGATAAAGAGGGACTACAGTACCTATCCTTTTGGATATCAGTGATGTTTTCCTGAACTATTGGGGTGTGTAGAGTTGTTTGTCCCTATAGCAGGGGCACCGGACTGCAATGTGTGGAGAAGGACATTCTTTGATTAGAATGCATTAAGGACACAATGATTTGTTTAACCTTGAGTTTACGATCCTCCTGTCTCAGCCTCTTGAGTGCTGGGATTACAGGCGTGTCTTGGATTCCATGTGGAAAAGGATAACCCTTTGATTATCCTTGCTAAAACGTGTGGTATCCGCCCATGAGTACTCGCTACGCTACGCCCGAGGTTCTCCCTCAAGAAAAGGTGACTGAAATTGGTATTTGAGGCTGCAGCCCGAGAGGCTGTAAGCCCCCGATCCCAGACTTTTGCCTCTCGTTTTTCTTGTCTGTCTTTTCCTTATCATCCGCGGGCACCTCGGTCACGGGACCTGACGCACTGGATAGTACGCCACACATGTTTTGTGTTTTAATGTCATGTTTAAATTTTTGGTCTCATGTTCTCAAACATTGTTTCCCACTGCTGTTGCTGTGCCTGTCTCTAGCATCTCTTTGCTTATTTGCTAATTCTAATCTCCTACGGATTAGAAAAATCACGTGACTGGAAATGTTACGCTGCTGTGTGCAATGTTTGCCAATTTGGAAGGCAGAATGTACTGCCTTGTGAAGAAATAGTCACGGAATGGAAGCTGGGGAACTTGTCTATGAATCAATGATGAGCGCTCCTTAACATTTACAGGGAATTTCTAAGGCCTTTGCTGCTATGGTTTGGATCCTGTCTTGCTTCCTTTCTCGTTGCTGGGACACAACACCGACACCCACAACTTAAAGGAGAGGTTTAATTTGGCTCACATTTTCCGTCCATGGTGCGCTGGCTCCAAGACAGGATGGCGTGGCAGAGGGACAGAGCAGGGGAAAGGCTGCTCGGGTCTCGGCAGCCCGGAAGCAGACAGAGAAGGGAGGAGCCCGGGAGGGAGAAACATCCGCCTCTTCCAAGCAGGCCCCACCTCCCAGCCCCCATATTCCAGTCACCTTCTCCAAGCCCCCCCCTCCGAGTGCGCGAGACTTTGAGGGGACATCCGGATATACAGCCCGAGACCTTGAATATCCTCCAGCCCCGTGTGTTAAGGGCTCAGTTCCCAGGTGGCACTGTCGGACGGTGCTGTGGACCTTTAAGAGATGGAACCTAGTGTCCTGGTTTGGCTTGGGAGGGGACTGCGGGACTCCAACCCCTTCCTCTCCTTTGTTTCCTGGCCACAAAGTAAGCAGTTTGTTCTGTCACACGCTGCCCACCATTACCACCCACAGTGGCCCATAGCAATGAGTCTTCCCCATCTCGCTTGGACTGCAAACTCCAAAACCATGAGAAAAATAAAATTAGTTTCTCTCTGTCTCTCTCTCTGTCTCTCTGTCTCTCTGTCTCTCTGTCTCTCTGTCTCTCTCTCTCTCTCTCTCCCTGTCCCTCCCCACCTTTAGTTTTTTTGAGACAGGGTCTCATGATGTAGTTCAGGCTGACTTTCAACTCACTCTGTAGCCCAGGCTGGCATCAAAGTCACAGCAATCCTCCCGCCTCAGCTTCCTGAGTGCTGGGATTATAGGTGTCCACCACCATGCCTGGCCTACTTTTTATTTTTAAGCATTCATCTGACTGTGGCCATTTCCAGCAAGTCAAAAACCTGTTCTCCCTTTCAATCAGCAAGTGAATATGCAGGGGCTGGGGAGGATAGCATTAAAATTCTCATTGACCCAGCAGCTTCCTGCCACAGAAAGTGAAAACTAGAGATAATTTTTCTATAGATAAATCACCATTAAAATTTGTGATTTCCAAATGAACAGTGGAAGGGCCGAGGAAATAGCTCAGCGGCATAAGCGCATGCCTGGCAAGCGCAAGGTGCTGAGTTTGATTCCTGGTACTAAAAAAAAAAAAAAAGTGAACAGTGGGGGCCGGGGCTATAGCTTAGTGGCACAGTGTCTGCCTGGCAAACTCAAGGTCCTGAGTTCGATTCCTGATACCAAAAATAAACAAAACCAAAAAAAAGACTAGTGAGCAGTGTTGGATACCAGAAATTAATTAAAGCACTTCTTTGTAAAGAAGAAAGCATGCAACATAACCCACATGGAATTGTGAAAAAAAATCTGAATTCAAACACAGAGATCCTGCTTTCACTATGGATAATAAAAAGAGAGGGAAAAATCAGCCCACTTCTCTGCTGTTAAACAAGTAGATTGGTATGACTGTGATCTTTATGTCTCTGACATGAAGACCCACACTAGAAACTTAATCTCCCCACATAACAAGAAGTCTGGCTCTGTTTTCCCTGGCTAAACAACAGTCCGACTGGTCATTTCAGGGAAAAATAAAATCAAGTGCACGGCAAAGTTAAGTAGGCACTGCCATTACCTTGGCTGCAGAATAAACCGCCTGAAAACTTACTGGTTTAAGACAGCAGCATTCATTTTGCTCACCGACGTGCGTGCATTGCAGGCCGGGCTCATCAGGGACGGCTCACCTCTGCGCCACTGTGTCAGCTGGGGTGACTGATCCACAGGCCGGCTCCCCTTGGCATGGGCAAGGGTGGTGCAAATGCTGGATCTTAATTTCGGGATCCAGCACTGCTGACTGTTCGCTGTTCACCCAAGGCTCACTCACTCGTGTGCGTGCTTGATGCTGGAAGGTCAGAGAGCTGGGGCTGGACGGCTGGAGCTCTTTGGGGAGTCTCTTCAGCAGTATGTGGGCTCTCTGAGGGTCTTCCGAACATGGTGGCCTCCAGATGCCCAGACTTCTTACACGAAGGCTCCAGGATTCCAAGGCAGGTGGTGTTCTAAACAGAATAAGAGCCCCGCAGAAGCTGTGTTGTCTTTTATGACTCAAAGTCAGTAGTTATTCACCATCGCGTCGCTCGAGGCTGGCTCCCAGGGAGGAAATGGACTCCATCTCGGTGGCTGTAGTGAATGGTATAAAACACCACAGTTGGAGACTCTGCTTGAGAAGTGGACGATAGATACTGCTGTGCTGCTAGATCAAGCTTCTTCTTCGTCTTCCTTTTTAAATTTTTTAAGTTTTGTTGGTCCTGGGAACCTAGGGTGTCACTCTTACTAGGCAAGCAGTCTTCACTGAACTATACCTCATCCCCTTTTCATTTTATTTTGAGGCAAGATTCTGCTAAGTCACCTAAACTGGCCTTGAACTTGCAATCCTCCTGCTTCCACTGCCAAATAGCTGGGATTACGGGCATGTGCCACAGTGCCCGGCAGGGATCAAGCTTCCAGACCTAGCCAGCTACTAACCCTCCATGGCATCTCCCCAGAATGCATCGAGTTTCACAAGTACGCTGACTAGTTACTTATTTTTGGATGAATCTGAAACAGGGGAAGGGAAGAGATGACTGGGCTTAATTAGTTGCACTCCTTTCCCAGAGGCTTAGCAGTAAGGAGACTCCGCGGAGAGCGAGGTTGCCTTATTGCAGGTATGGCTTTCATCAGAACCAGATCCCCAGAGCCAAGACCTAGCTGGAAGCCGCTGTGGTGATAACTTTAGGGCGCTCTGCCCGAACAAGGGATTATGAGTGCCCAGGTCCACTGCAAGTGCCCTGGGGTCACCAATGACTCCTTTACATTCATTTAATGACATAGAGATGAATGAATGCTTCGGGGTGGTTAAGGCAGGATCGTTGTGAGTTTGGGACCAGCCTGGGCTACAAAGTGAGCTCAAGGCCAGTCTGAACTGCATAGTGAGACTCTGTCTCAAAAAGACAAAACAAAACAACAAAAAAAGAATCACTTTGTTGAATTTTTATTCCCTAAAGTATCTAGCAAGGTGCCTTGAAATGTTTGCTGGGGAGTGACTGTGTGAAAATACATTATACAGAAACTTCATCATAAAAAATGTGAAGACATGTGAATATCACATTCAGAAATACCAAAGATGTCTCTCCTCATTAGAGAAGACTAAGAGAAAAATAAAGCACATAATCTCGTTTATGGTACGAAGAAATATTTCAGTATTACCATCTATTCATTTTGATGGGCATCTGTGCGGTGTGTCTCAGTGAGCCCACATCAATATTTGCATCATTATGATCAGCAGAGAATAGACTTAATATTTTACTGCAGGTTTATGACCATCTCATTTGGAAATTGCATAAATATTATGAGAGACTTGTTTTAATAAGCTAGATTTATGGAAAACATTTCTAGTATCAAATGAAGAGGAGCCTCATCATACTTTGCTTGTAAATGACTTTTCATATTGCCAAGTCAATTATTATGGTTCTGAGACACTGAACCCAGAAAATCATTTCAGAGTCAGGAATGCCTGATTTGTAAGATGCAAAGTGAACATATGTCTTTATTTTGAATCATTATCAAAACCAAAGGTAGGTGACTTATCAGTTTTGGGGTGGGGAGCCTCATAGGCCGAGGAAGTGAGACTCTCTTTGTCTCGTGGGCAAGGAGCCGATTGTTCATGTAAGGAAGCAAATCGTGGGTTCTGTGAGACGTTAGTGCTGCTCTCTCCGTGAGCAGGGGATGGACCGTTTGACTTTTTGCAGCTAATGGGGCCCTGGCTGCATGGTTGCATAGCTGGAGTAGGGAGAAAGACGGCAGGCTCCCCTGTACCTGCATCACGGTGGTGGCCATTCTTGTGGAGCGCTGGAAGGGACACCCTGGTCCCACCCCCTCTCCTGAAGCAAGCCTGGCTGCTCTCCGGCTTTCTGTGAACAGCAGCATTCTCACACAACCGCCTTGCAAATAGAGGCATCCTACCTGCTAAAAGGGACAAAGACTTTTGCTCAAGGGTTGAGCGCCGCTAAGAGAAAGGAAAATGGCGAAACGCATGCCATTCCTTCCCATCTTTGAGAGATGGGTCCTGGAAAGCTAGTAACTGGAAGGATCATCCTGGATTTGAGTGTTTGTTCCACAAATAACTTGCATTGGCCTATGTCACCCAAAGGAAGAAATAAGGTTCATTTTGATGATGAATAAAGCTCACACTCCAGACCCTCAAAATGCACTGGAATCTCAGAAGCGCTTCTTTCTCTCTATGATGGTTTGAGGTTCCCTGGGGACCTTGCCCACACCCTCTGAACTTTCCTTTTCTTACCACTTGCATTGTCTTCTTATAATTTACACACTGACATTTACCAAATCTCTAAGCCTCAGTTGCTCCCCGGCCCCCAAGTGCTTACCTTGTGCTGAATCTTTACCTGAAATGGAAAAGAACCATCTCTGCTTAGAGTGTCTTTTTTCAGGGGCACAAGATAAAACCTTGCACCTCTACCCCCAATCACCAGGGGCAGATGTCTGCCATCTCAGTCAACTCTTCCATTTAGGAACCTGGTCAAGCCCTTTGGGCAGTTTCATAACTGTCATAAGACAATTCAGACAGTGACCTCCCCCCACAATGCCCCATAGCTCAGCTATGTGCACTCTGTCCTCCAGTGTGAGCTCCAAATCCAGGCATTTCTGTTCAGGACCTGAAGGAGTGCTTGGTAGTCTCCAGTTTGAGGACTCTTCGCTCTGGGGAGGGAGGACGGATTTCAACAGCCATCAGCACAATGTTCAGTTTGATTACATGGCACCTAGCAAGAGTGACTCTATCTAGTTTGGTCTGTTGGGCCTAGTAGAGGAGCTCAATCCAAAACAATGGCTTCCCATAAATTTCACTTAACACAGTGAATGTATGAGTCAATATACTCAGAGTTCTCGAGAGAAACAGTTCCAGTAGGACATATAGAGAGAAATATAAGGGATTTATTATGGAAATTGGTGTACACAATTATGGAGGCCAAGAAGTCTCACCATAGCCATCTGCACGCTGGAGACCCTGGGAGCCAGTGATATAATTGTTTTTTTTTTTTTTTTTTTGGTTTTTCTCCGGTACCGGGAACCGAACTCACGACCTGAAAAACTTTAAGTGCGTATTGCTAAGTGAAAGAAGGTGATCTGTGAAGGCTACATAACATATAATTCCAAGTAGATGACATTCTGGAAAACTAGAGAAACAGTAAAATGATGCTGGGGTGGGGTGGGGGAAGGTTGAAAAGGCAGAGTATAGAGGATTTCTAAGACACCGGAACTACTCTTGTGTGATACTATAATAATGGACACATCACTATGTATTTATGTAACAGCATAGAATGTACAGCGCTAAGAGTGAACCCTTGTGTAAATGACTGGCTTTGGGTGATGATGTGTCAATGCAGGTTCATCAGCTGGAACATATGTACCACTTTGACAATAGGATGCTATGCTTGTGTGAGGATGAAGAAATATTTGGGAACTCTGTACCTCCCTCTTAATTTTGCTGTGAATTTAAAACTACTTTAGGGGGCTGGGGATTTAGCTCAGCAGCAAAAGCGCCTGCCTGGCAAGCGCAAGGTCGTGAGTTCGGTTCCCGGTACCGGAGAAAAAACCAAAAAAAAAAAATAAAAAACTACTTTAGAATAATAAAATTATTTTAAAAATTGAATCAGGAACTTGATTAAGTGAGCACAGTATAAAAGCAAAATTTGAAAGCCATATATGTGGAGTCAAACAGATCCAAATACCTCACTTTGTTCCTTGTAAGTCTGACTTGGTCTAGTCCATTCTACGCCTTCTGCCTCCATCTGAATGTAGGATCTCATGACCTCATTCTGAGCTATTACACTAGTTGGCTAAGTAGTCTTAAATCTCTCCCTCATCTACTCCAAAATTTACACTGCTTCCAGGATTGTTTTAATTTAAGAGGAACAGTAGGAGAAGGAGGAGAAAGAAGGAGGAGAAGAGAAGAGAAGCAGCTTTGTAAAAAATGAGAGGCAGCCAGGATATCCAACACAAGGTAAGTAGCTTGGTTCAGTCATGGGATAGACTATTTGTAGCCACCAAAGACTGTGTAGTCATTGAAGGCTGAGCTTTAAAAGAGCTCTTCATGGTCTGGTCAACGGTCATACTTGGGCACTAGGTGACAAAATCGCATTACCTGTGTGATCTCAATGAGGTCACCAGGACCTATGTATAAACTTAGCTACACTCATCACACTTGGAAAGGTGAAAAGATATTGTCGATACAAACCAACCAACCAACCAACCATTTGATACAGACCAGACTTTCTCAACTGGATAATATGAGAGATGATGCTCTAAGGAATCTGTGATGGTTAATTATATGTATCACCTTGACTGGGCTAAGGGACACCCACATAGCTGGCAAGATGTTATTTTGGGTGTGTTGGTGAGAGTGATTTGGAAGAGATTAGCATTTGAATCAGTAGACTGAGTAAAGAAGATGTGCCCTGCCCAACATGTGTGGGTATCATCCAATTTATTGAGGGTCCAACCTGAACAAAAAGATGGAGTAAGTGTGAATTCTCTTTCTCTCTTCTTGAATGAAGATGTTCATCTTCTCTTGCCCTTGAAATTCCTAGTTTTTGGGCCTCCAATTCAGGGGCTCACATCAGTGCCCCCCACAAGGCCAGTCATCAGGCCCTTAGACTCACATTGAATTATATCACTGGAGGGGCTGGGGATTTATTTTTGTTTTTTTGTTTTTTTTTGGTTTTTCTCCAGTACCGGGAACCGAACTCACGACCTTGCACTTGCCAGGCAGGCGCTTTGCCGCTGAGCTAAATCCCCAGCCCCAGTTTTTCATGTCTTTTCTTGACTTGAAAACTCACTTCTTTCCAGTGTTGAATAACATCCCAGTGTCTAGCTATTTACTCATTTACCTACCGAAGGACATCTTGATTGTTTCCAAGTTTTTGTTATGAACGAAGCTGATATAAATGTCTGTATGGAGGTTTTTGTATGGACATAACTTTGCAACCCCTCAAAGAGTGCAATTGTTTGATCATATGATAAGGGCATGCTTAGCTGTTTTGTTTGGTTTGATCTTTGAGACAGGGTCTCACTGTGTAGTCTAAGCTGGCCTTGAACTCACTCTGTAGCCCTGGTTGGTCTTGAGTTCACAGTGATCCTCCTCCCCCAGCGTCCCAAACACTGGGATTACAGGTGTGCAACCCCAAGCCCAGCTGTTTAGTTTTGTAAAAGCAACTGCCAAACTTGTTTTCGAAAGTGGCTGTAGCATTTTACATTCCCACCGGTAATGAGAATTCCCATTGTTCAACCTTCGCACCAGGCTAGAGTGTT